CAAACCCCAACCCACAAAGCAACAACAGAAACTAAACCAAAACCCCAAAACTTAATCTATCAACTAAAATCGAAGGTGATGAGAGGAGGGGCAGGCAGCTGCAGAGTTGCCAGTAGATATGTCAGAGATCAACCCCTCTTCTCTCCAGAAATTTCAATCTTTTTTCCCCCCAAGGTGGGCAAGCAGTGATTACACAGACAATTTATTTGGTGTACAGGTATTTTAAAGAGTCTGGTCAAAAGATACCAATCCACACAAACAGACTTAATGTACAAGACAGAAGTTGAAGCTGCAGTCTAGACTGACCCAGGTAAAAACCCAGTCACTTCAATCACTGCGATCCTGACCCGATGCTGCAGCTGACCGGGTGCCTCGACGCTGCCCTCCCCGTGCTTGGCTGCCCCGGGCAGGCTGTGCCTCCTCCCCACCCCAGGAAAAACGTTGGCAGTTTTCCTGATGTTGACAATCATCAGGCTGATGGGCAGGGAAGGATGTTTCACATACTCAAAGCAAGTTTTCATGGCAGTTATAAGCTTACAACAGCAACAGGACGACTCAGCACTAACGTTCACCCGTAAATGCTGCTGCCCGGGGTTGTTGGTGCTGCAGGGGCTGTCAGAGCTCCCCGGGGAGTCGGGGTCCTCCCGGGCAGCAGCGAGGTGTGTGGGCAGAGGGAGCTGAGCGGGCTGCAGCGGCGATGGCTGAGGAAGGTCAAAGTGGCAGGATGGGGCTGTGGCGAGGAGCTTTCATCCTTCCCCGGCCTTTGCCAGCAGAGGATGCAGGCAGGAGTAAAGGTGCCACCGCGGGGATGGAGAGGCCGGGGCTGGGCGGGCTGCGTCCCAGTGCTTACACCCCTTTCCCTCCAGCCAGCTCCTCTCCGGGGTCTGGCTCGGGGGCTCTGCCGCTCGCCCGCCCCGCCGGGCAGCCCCCCCTCCCCCAGCCAGCCGGGAGCAGCCCCCTGCTCCCTCGGCGGGCGCTCACATGTCCTCCATATGGGCTGCTCCTGGCGAGGGAAAGGCTCTTCCCAGCCGCCTTTGATTTGGAGCCCGTGTGGGCACGTCACAGGGCGCAGCAGCATCTGTCCCGGGGCTCACGCCGGCGTCCGCTGGAGCCCACGATGCTGCTCCTGCTCCGGAGCTGCCCTGGCCGTGTCCCCGTCGCACCTTTCCTCTTCCCCCAGTGGGCACGTCCCTGCCTGTGTCGCTCTGTCCCTCGCCAGGAGCGGACGGTCCCTCCCGGGCAGGGCTGGACCCCATCGCCGTGGTCCTCCTCCACCTCGGAGCCCACAGCGAGGACTGGAGCCGCGGCGCTGCCTGGTCTCCCTTTGCCATGCGAGGGAACAGCCCGTTCCCACGTGAACTGCTGAGTCCTGGCCAACCCTGCTCTCCAAATATTTATATATCCCATTACTGTTTACATATGAGCCTGTTCTCTGGAGGTGTCTCCTCCTTCCCTCTTCTCCCCCCAGTGCTCCCCCTGCTCCATCTCATCTGGTGCAGCTATTCCAAACGCTGCGCTCTGCTCCCATTACGGCTTGATTAATTTACAGGGAAAGGCAAAGTCCTCCCAAGGGAGTAATCCAAGCCCCCGGCCGGGCACGGCAGCCCAGCGAGAGCAGAGCCTCCCAGGGAGCCGAGGCACGCGGCGGTGGGAAGGGGACGGGGCAGAACCTACTTCGCAACATGACCCGGCCGAAGACGGTGTGGTCGCGGTCCAGGGTGCTGCAGTTCCAGCGGTGGTGCCGGAACTGGTGCTGGCACTCCCGGATCCACTCCTTGGCTCCCTCCCCGACCGACTGCATGATGTCGGGGTACCTCTGGCACAGCTGCCGCTGCTTGTTCACCAGCCCGGGGATGTTATCGCAGATCACCCTCGCGCCCAGCGCCCCGATGTACCTGCGAGAGAGAACGGTGCCGCGTCACCGGGCTGCCCGCGGAGGGGGAAGGTGCCAGGCTCCTGCTCCCCGGGCACTCACCCTGCTCGGGGGGTCTTACACTGAAGCCCACCTTGCCTTCTTTTCTTTCTGGCTGTGCCACAGCTGCTGCGAGCTCTGCCGAGGGCGTCCCGTGTGCCCTCCTTGCAGCATCCCCTCGGCGTGGCCAGTACTGTGGCTCAGACGGGAGGGCACAGGGCCGGGGCTCTGCTGAGCCATCGCAGCCGCTGGGCTTTGGTCTCTGTGTTTGACAAAAAAACCCGGGGCAGGAGCAGCTCTGCTCTCTGCCTGCTTCGCTGCTGCAACCCACCCAGTGGGTGCTGCGAGTCCTGGGGCCCGCGGCCCTGAGGGCCTGGGCTCTCTGCGAGCTCCTGGGGCGGCAGCGGAGGAACTCGCCGATGTGCAAAACCCCCCTCCCACCCTCTCCCCTGCACCCCAGCCCCGCTCCACAGCCCGGCCCTGCTGAGCAGAGCAGGATGGAGCCCGGCTGAGCCCAGCGCAGGCTCTGCAGCATCTCCCACCTGCCCGCGGGCTGGGCCACGCTGGGAACAACAGTCGATGCTCAGGTCGGGGAGAAAGAGGAGAAGCTTTGCCTCTTGCTGCCGCAGTCCTCGTTCACAGTTATCCCCCAGCTACCTGCTCCTCTCCGCTGGTGAACACGTGGAGAGCTACGCTGTGTCCCCTGTCCTGCCGTACCCCGCTGCATCCCGGCACCCCTGTCCTCTCCCTGCGGTGGGAGCTCGGAGCAGAAAGCCGACGCACAAGCAAGTCTGGTAGAGCCTGGCTGAGCCCCGCGGGCAGCTTGCCACGGCCACGGCGGAGGGACCCCGCGCTCGCCCCAGCCCGGACAACAGCGGCAACAGGGACTTTCCCCTCGTGGTCAGGCCCTGCCTGTGCCACCCGCTCGCCCCGGCCAGGCAGCGGCTGCTCGCGCTGGAGGATGATGTTTGCCACAGAGCGCGGAGCCGTGATTCTGCCTGGAAGGGATGAGGTTTGAGTGGGATTCAAATTTTTCAACCTCACAGACTGGAAGTGAGACCCTTCCTTTAATAAGAAGAAGCAATGAGCTTGGGCAATATTTCATTGTCTTTCTCTGGCCATGTTCTATCACTTCTATCTGCCCCAGAGAGAGCTCGCAGGCTCAGGAAAGCCCTGCAAGCACAGAAAGCAATGGGATCTGTTCCCTCTTTTAAAATATTTTGTTTAAATGCTGGCAGAAGCACAAGGTCATCTCAGGCTGGAGCTGAGGATAATAAACCCGGCTCCCCATGGCTCCGCAAGCCCCGGCTCTGAGGGCCAGCGAGCATTATTTTCACAGGCTGGCTCGTCAGCCTTTCATCCTGCACCAGGGGGACAAGGGAGATGGCGGAAGCCATTTAGGAAAGAAAAAGCCAACGGGGAGCTCATGGAGCAGCGCTGGCTGCGAGTGTTTAATTGCCTCGCTCATGCTGGGCCGCGAGAGCGGCCAGTTCCTCTCCGCGGTGAGCAGGGCAGGGCCGAGGAGCATCGTCCAGCTGGAGGATGGCACAGGCCACCGGTCTCGAGCTGGGCTGCCGAGATCCCGCGGGGAAGCGTGCCCAGGTGCCCTGGCCCTGGATTTGCTCTGCCCAGCCTGCCTGGTCCCAGCGAGGAGGGGGACGGCTGCCATGTCCCTGCCTGCGCTGCCAAGAGCTGGGACGCGGCGGTGCAGCAGGAGCCAAAGCTCCCCTGCGCTGGAGGGAAAAGATGCTGGGAAAGCTGGAAAAGGGAAAATGTTCTTCAGTGGGCACCTGGGCAGGGGCTTTGCGGGGACCCTGTCCCCCATCCGGCACCGCGGGGCTGTGGCACGGGCTGTGGGGCCGGCGGTGGGCTCTGAGCAGGGCTGGCTCTGGGGAGACGCGCTGGCAGAGCAGCTGCCCCCCGGGAGAGCCGGCAGATAAAGCACCGACTAACACCGTCCCCTGGGAGACAGATCAAGGAAAACCCTCCAGACAAGATAAACACCAGGCACTCCCTTTTTCACACTGTCAGCTAATTACTCCTCGTTAATTCTCCTGCCAAACGCCCAGATCAGAGCAAACATTATCAGCAGGAGAAAGTGGAAGGAGAGCAGGGCGAAGGGCCCCGACTGCCAAGGGAGCATCTCGCCGTGCGGGGCCCCAGACCCCCCCGGGTGGGTGCTGCGTCTCCTTTGCCTGTGGCTGTGGTACCCCCAGGCCTCCGCCAGAGATGACGCACTGGAATCCATCCCACGAGGGCCGTGGCGCTGGGAAGCAGCGTGGCACAAGGGGAGAAATTCCTCACGTGTCCTGGAAAGGCTGCGGTTATCTCGAGCTCTTCCATTTCGTGAGAAATGCTCCAGTTGGGTTCAGTTACTCTGAAATGGAGCGAGACGGGGAACATCAAAAAATTCTGCCAAGCAGGATTTTGGGAGGGAAAAAACCCAAACATTTGTTTTGGATTGATTAAAGCATCCCTTTTGATTTTATTTCTAAAAATTTATGACATTTTAAAAACATTGAAATAGGAAAGACAATGGATGTTCTGAGAAGTCCCCAGCTGCCTTATCAGAACTTCATTTTTAAAAAATGAAGTTGTGCTGGAAGCGGCAAATTTCTGTGAAATGCTGTACTCTTGGGGAATCTGCATTTTTACAGCAGGAAAAAAAAACCACAACCAAGCCCTGAGTTCAGAAAAGTCTGTGAGAGGGAACAGCTCCTGATGCTGGAGCTGCTCGGGCCTGGACCTCACCGTGGTCAGGAGAGAGGCGGCAGCAGCAGGCGAGGAGGGGCTGGACGGGAGGGGGTTAATAATTAAGTGTATGTGGGGATGATGATCCCCCCCCCCTGTCAAATGGGGTTCTGAGGTCCTCAGGTAGCCCTTGCATGGCCCCTGGTTGCCCAGCTCAGGCAGAGGAGCTGGCCCCAAGCCCTCCAACAGCCCTTGGCTGCGCGATGCTGCATTTTACTTCGTGCAAACCAGCGTGTGACCGCAGCCTTGCTGAGCCTCCACTGATCCCAGCCTTGCTGAGCCTCCCTGCTGATCCCAGCCTTGCTGAGCCTCCACTGATCCCAGCCTTGCTGAGCCTCCAATGATCCCAGCCTTGCTGAGCCTCCCCACTGATCCCAGCCTTGCTGAGCCTCCACACTGCTCCCAGCGTTCCGCTGCGGGGACCGGGCGGGCTGCAGCTCTAGCGCTACCCCCCCGTCTCTGCAAGACGCACCTTGCCCAACAGCAGCGGCCGGAGAATTCCCGTCACCAAGGCAAGGGCTTTGCGAGCCTGGGAGGTGAGGCAGGCTGTGCTCCCTGCAGCCTTCCTCCCGCAGCCTTCCTCCCGCAGCCTTCCTCCCGCAGCCTCCCTCCCCGCTGCAACCCACGGCTGCGCGGCCGAGCCGAGGCTCTTCCTCAAGCTCCGGCGAGCGCTGGCCGCAGCGACGCGCGGGGGAACAGGAGACAACTGTCACGTGTTGGCTCCCAGTTGTTCTTGTTCTAAGAGTCTGCTGACTTCGACTCTTGTAAACAAGGAGAAACCTAAATTGCTTCTAAGATAAACATGCAAATCAGAGGCAGACGCATCTATTTACTTGGCGGCGTGCACTCTGTGCTAACCCCCTTCCACGGCGTGCCTCCGGGCGGTATGTGTCCTGCTCCCGCGCTTCCCACAAGAGCTGCCCGACTTCCCGAAGGACTTGCAGGCTCCTCAGGGGGCTCTCGCAGAACCGTGCGGCCCCTCTCATGTCTCTGCCCCCTCTGAGCCGCTCAGAGCCGTCCTCCCCACGGCTGCTCTCCTCCCCGGACATGCAGCTCCTGGGATTTGCTGCACCTTCTCCCAAGGACTGGATCCCAGCACGCCTCACGCCCTCTCCACCTCCACCGTGCTGGAATCCTTTTTCTGGATCAATAAACTGTGCTTTTGGCACCGACACAGTGCACGCAGCTTCCCAGTTGCTGAGCTCTTTCAATGGGAACGACCAAAAGACGTGGGGAAAAGCTCCATACCCCAGGTGTGGGGAGACCAAGAGCATGGCTGCGTCTCAGGCGCTTCAGCCACGCGCAGATGGGAGCTGTGGCCTGGGCCAGCCCGCCCTGAGCGTCTCAGCGGGAGCCTGGCCTGGTGAGCACACCAGCCTGCGTTTGCGGGGCCTGGGGGCTGCTCCGCAAAACCAGCGGTCAGAGGGACCCCGACCCCAGCAGAGCAAAGGAGGAAGATGCTGCCAAGGGGAATTCCGTCCCCCTTTCGTAATAAATGAACAGCCCCCTGCAGTGCAGACCTGGGGCACCTCCAGGGTTTTTTGCTAACTCAGAGCTGTCGGCAGTAATTTTAATTGCTAAAACTCTGCTGGCTGACCCAGTGTCTGTGGGGGCAGCTCTCCAGTCCCGGAGAGGCAACGGCAGGGAAGTCTGGTAGGTATCGGGTGGAAAGCGTCTCTTGGAAAATGAGTTTTTTTCATGAAAATGGGTAAAATTAAGTGGAATCGGAACTTGTTCTTGTTTGTTGCTTTTCCGTAGCACCACGGCGTTGAGAAATACGTTACTGCGCTAATTCAGTTTCTGATTAAATTTATACTCGACACACTGCTGTATCTGATGCTTCACTTTACACCTTTTTATATGGTGTAGAAAAACCGATTTGAGCATTACTTGATTTCAAAAGGGAAATTTTTGGAATTGTCGTTCTCAGGCAAATCTCGCAAGTTTGATATTTTTGTGCTCTGCGTTAGAATGAAAACAGCTGCTGAAATGTTGGCTGTCCCCACTGCGGGACATCGGGGTTGCACCGATACCATTAAAGACACAACTTTAAATTAGATTAATACAAAAAGAGCTTAACTGAAATCACTCCCATAGGTTAACCGGATGCCAGGGGGCGTTTGTGTGAGTGGCTTTGCTGACAGGGCCAGGCAGAGCCCCGACGGGGGGCAGCTCAGCCGGGGCAGCCCCGGGAGCCCCCGGCCGCCCCCCAGCCCAGCGGGACGACGCAGGACAAT